CTAGTCAGTAGACAAGGGAAAGCCAGGTACCCGATCCAGCTTGGTCGCCACTCTGTCCCCAGCACTTGGCACATAGCAAGGACTCAATAAAAGTTTTCTGAAAACAGACCTACCTCTAACCTCCTTTTCTTTGAAACTCACCCTTGCACCCTGAATCACACCTGCAGCTATTGCTAAGGTGTGCCCCACACTTTCCCTCCCCTCTGCCTTTGCTTACTCAACAATTTCCATCTGGATGCCCTCCTCCCTCTTTCCTGCTTCTGAGCCCTCACAAAGCACAGTCCCCTTGGGAGCTGAGACTGAGCAAGTGGACCTGACTTGCACTTGCAGCCTTGTGCCTGCCACATGGCTGCTGGCTGTGCTATGCTGGCCAACCCCTGGCCAAGTCACCATAAAGCAGTATCAGAGGGACTGTGCCTCAGCAGGCCCTTTGTCCCCTTGGGAAATAATGTCTGAGAACTTCTCCCCAGGTCAAAGTGCAGGCTGATTTCCAGAGGAGACTCCAACTGTCCCCATTACTTGAGGGCCTCTGACCTTCTCTACCATGCCTGACTCATCCTGCCATCCTCTGCTGTCTTTATTTGTGCATGTATGGAGGGGAGGAAGTTGCCTTCCCCACATAAAGGTGAGGCCTCTGAGGCAGGCTCTGAGGGCCCCTGAGAATTGTTAGGAAGTGATAAATTAATAACTGAGTCCTTACATGGATAGCTCCTGACACATTAGTCAGGGAGGCCAATTACAATAACAAACACACTCCTATCTCAGTGGCTTTAGCCAGTAAAAGGGCATGTTTTTGCACACACAAAGTCCAGCATGGATATTCCTGCTTGGATGGCTCCCTTGGGCAGCCCTCCTCTGAGATCAGGGCTCTATACTCCTTGCATCTTGTGCTATTGATGTCTTCAACACGAAGCCTCCAAGGTTGCTGTGAAAGAAGGAGAGACCTTTCCCCTCTGGCCAAGCCTCTCCCCCACCCCCTATCTTCCATCCTGGCACCCGTCTGTCTAATGGCCACCTTGTACTCCATCCTAGCCCAGGCTGGGGGGGTCACAGTCATCCTTCCTACCTGCAGCTTTTGCTCAAGCTGTTGCTCCCACCCCTCTGGGTCCCCTTTATATGGCTAGCTCAGTCTTTGTCCTCCAAGGCAATCTGCCTTGTGCAGAAGTAAACAGCATCGGTGTGGTACAGTCTAGCCTCTGAAGCTCATCCACCATCACTGTAGCAGCCAGCCTCCAAGCTGGCACCCAGGGATCCCACCCCCAGATATTCACACCCTTGTATGGAGTGTGGACTGGACTTAGTGACTCACATCTAACCAAGAGAGTAAGGTGGAATTGATAGTGTGAGACTCAGAGACCAGGTCATAAAAGGCAGTGTGGCCTCTCTCTTTCTCTTGACTCACTCACTCTGGGAGAAGCCATCCATGTCATTGGCAGTGCTGTGGAGAGGCCCACATAGCAAACAACGAAGCCTCCTGCCAACAGCCACACAAGTAGGCCTGGAAGCCGGTGCTGCAGTCCCACTCAGGCCTTCAGAGACCACAGCTCTGGCCCCAGTCCCAGCCTGGCTGCAACCTCATGAGAAACCCTAAGCCAGAACCACTCTAGTAAGCCATTCCCAGACACTTGACCCCCAGAAACCAAGAGTCGATGAGGATTTGTTGTTTAAAGCAGCTAAGCTTTGGAGTGATCTGTCATGCAGTGATAGACAACTAATTTAATCACCTCAGAGGCAAGGCCTGGGTCTCCTTCCCCTGATCCCTGCCCCAGGCCTCATGTGGGTGGGATTGAGAGGAAGCACACATGTGAGAATTCATTTACTCAACGAACTCCCTCTCACTGGGGATGCTGAGGTCCTGTGCTGGTGGTGGAGCTGGGTCGAATGGGGCTGAAGGCACCATGGATAAGGGCCTAAGGGGGCTCCCAGTCCACTGGGAGACAGAGAAGTCCACTCACCTATGAATAACTATGACCCTTTCATCCCCGAAGATAGTGCAAAAGAGGGCTGATGCAGGGCAAAGGGCAGAGTTTGAGGGTTGAAGGGTAGGATGAGGTTTGACAAAGGAGGCGATCTTTGGGAGTGAGTGACGCTGACCGGACCAAGAAGAAAGAATGTTCCAGGAGGAAGGGAACGGTGTGCCCATAAATAAGCCAGTGCAAGAGCAGAGTATACTGAGAGAGCAGCAAAGGGGGCGGGAGTGACTGGTGGCAAGGGGAGAGGGTCCAGAGGTGAGGCTGGTGGGGTCTAGAGGGCAGATGATAAAGGCATTGAATGCCAGGCTGAGGAGTTTAGGCATTATCCTGAGGCACTGGAGACTACTTAGAGAGTTCTAAGTTTTATTTGTGAGACAGGATGCAGGTCCTGTTTGTGGGTAGGCTGGAGGGAGGGCACTAGAGGCAAGGGCATTGGCGCAGCATTTACCTGGACAGCAACACCTCCTCCCCAGGGTGCTAAGGGCTATGGCAGAGAAACAGAAAGTCTGGAGAAGCCAGAGGAAACCCCTCGCAATCAGAGGCACTGGGGAAGACTTTTTTGCACAGATAAAATCAGTATTGGAGGATGAGTAGGAATTATCCAGACAAAGTGGAGATAATGGGGAGGAGATGGCATTCCATGGCATCCGACATCATGGGCAAAAGCTCAGAGGTGAGACACTGTAGCTGGCACAAAGAAATGCAAATGGTTCCGAGTGATGGGAGCATGGAGTAAGGGAGGAAGAGAGATGAGGATAGACAGGCTGGGCCAGATGCTGGAGAGTGGCAAATGGCAGGCTGAGAAGCTCGGGCTTGGAGGTGTACGTGTTCCGTCTTCCATTGACCCCTCCAGATCAACTCTGCCTGTCTTTGCCTTTCTCCCTTTCCCAGGGGGCCTACATGCCTGGACTGCAGCCACAGGCCCTCCTTCCCTCCAGCTTCTAGTTGGGCTCAGGCAGTGGGGAACTTGGCAGCAGACTGAATGGAGGAAGGAGAATGAGGTGGGAATGCTTGCTCCTGGCTCCTCCCTTGCAGGGTCACCAGACCTGCTCGTGCCCCTTGACCAACAATGGCCCCCACACAGGAGTCTTCCTGGTTCAGGAACTGCTGCTTCCATTCATCCTTCCAGGCCTCAGGGTGGAAACAGTGCACACACTTCAAAAAATGGTTCCTTTTTAAACCCTCCTCAAATTATCCTCTGGTTCCTGCTGGATCCTGATCCTGTGGATTCAGACTGGTCCAAACCCTATCCTAGGAGCAATGGAGGGTCGTGGAAGGATGCTGAGTAGGGAATGATGCAGTCAGCTTTGTGTTTTAGACAGCTCACTGTGGCTCTGCATGAGGGATCAATGCAGGAGAGCGAGAGGGAGATAGGGCAGAGATGCAGGGCTGAGCTGGGATCCTTGGGATACACAGTGGTGATGCCATGGTCACACAGGGAATTCCAGGGTGTGTGTGCCTGGGGTGGGCAGTGGTTGTGCTTCAGGCTTCTAGTTTTTAATTTTTGGTGGATTGTTTGCAAACATGGCAGTAAGAATCCCTGCATGTGACCACACCCTTTTGTAATATGACATTGCTACTCCTCCCATCCAGAGGGGGATCCTATTCCTTATTCCCTGAATCTGCTGGGTTGTGACTTGCTTTGACCAACAGAATGCAGCAGAAGTGATGCTTGTGAGGTGTGCAGCCTAGGACTTGAGTCCGTGCAGCTTTGGCTCTCGTTTTTTGGAATCAGCCACCAGTGAATGCTAACAGACCACTCAGTATAGAGAGGGGCCCAGTGTCCATGTGCAAAGAGAGGCCCAGCCCCTCTAGCATCCCTAGCTGTCTCAGCCCCAGCTGACCCCTTGGCTGGATGCAGCTGCAAGACCCAAGAGGAACCACCCAGAGAATCCATAGAATTGTGAGAAGTAATAAATCCTCACGCTCTTCAACCATTAAGCTGTGGTTATTGTTGTTGTTTTTTTTGAGACAGGATTTCATTCTGTTGCCCAGGCTGGAGTACAGTGGTGCAATCTCGAGTCACTGCAACCTCCCCCATTTGGGCTCAGACAATCCTCTCACCTTAGGCCTCTAAGTATCTGAGACTACAGGCACAAGCCACCATGCCCGGCCAATTTTTGTATGTATTTCTCTTTTTGTACAAAGGGAATTTCACCGTGTTTCCCAGGCTAGTCTCAAACTCTTGAGCTCAAGTGATCCACCCACCTTGGCCCCACAAAGTGCTGGGATTACAGATGTGAGCCACCATGCCCAGCCAGCCATTAAGTTTTGAAGTGGTTCGTTATACAGCAGTAGGTAATTACTATGGGCTGTTATTTATCTCCTTTGCAAATCTCCCACTTTCTTCAAGGTCCTGCCCACGTGTCACCTCCTCCAAGTCCTCCCCTCGTCTGTAAATCATCCCTCCCTTCTCTAAACTCCACTGCTTCTTCTTCCTGCTCCTCTTGTGACCCTTATACCACGCTGCCTAATAGGATAATAAGAGGCACTTTCATGAGACATTGGGCACCTTTGTCACCTGGCTTCTAATTCATACATACTGCACATCATTCCACAAAGGACATGGAATAGCTTGTTATCTCATGAACTGTTCACAACACTGAAGGTGGATACTATAGTATTTATTTCTCAGATGACAAAATCGAGGTTTGGAGATGTGGCTTGCCCAGGATCACTGAAAAGAGGCAGAGCCAGAGCCAGGATTGAAACCCAAATGTACACTTCTCTCAGTGCCTGTGTTGTGGTTATGGGTGTGATCTGCTCCAGGCAGGGAAGGGTCTGTTTCCCCACTAGAGGGTGAGGGAGAGTCACAAACCCTGGTCCAACCCTCTGTTCCCTCCCTACTGATGCATGGCGCTAACCCAGGAATCTAGAACTCTGGTCAGGGTGTCTGTCCCCATCTTACCCCTCCACACCCCCCACACCCCTGCAGACACATGCACACATCTCACATCTGGTTTCCATTCTCTGTGCTGGCCTGCCCTGTGTCTTAACAAATTGACCCCCGCTTCTTTCCCAACAGAATGGGGCCAGAGGTGGTAAACTTAGGGTTGATGCATCAGGAAGAAGCGATCAGCATGGTCTTCTCTGGCTCAGTCTCATCCGGCTTCTGGGAAGGTGAGACAGGGCCCCAGGGCCAGGCTGGGGGATCAAGGGTAAGGCTTTGACCAGCCCTCTTGGTTGGGGGTAGAAAGAAAGAGAAGCATGCTAAAATATAATTCTCTCATTTATTGAACTGACATTTATGGAGCCCCCTTTTTTATGCCAAGGTCAGGGGCTTAAGTTACAAAGGGCGAATAAGAGGCACCTTATGAAGCTCTCAGCCTATGTAATGTCAGAGCTGAGACTCAGAGTCAGTGGGAAAACTGAGGCTCAGAAGGAGAGAAAAGAGGCCTGCCCACAGTCATACAGCCAGTTGGTAACAGAGCACAGTCCTCCCTACCCACCTTCCGTGTGCCTCTGGCGGCCACTCCATCACCCAGAGAACCCAGAAGCTTGAAGCTACCTAGGGTGAGGGCAGGGGTTTGCTGGCCACCCCTCCTCTCCAGCATGGAGAGGGAGGACCTGGGACATCCAGGGTGCAAGATGACAGGTCTTGTAGGAGAAGGGACTGGAGCTGGTGGCCTCTTTTGTGCTGTCACTCAAGGTCAGAGGAATAAAAACCTTGCTGTTCTCTTTGTTCCCTTGCATTTCCTTTTATAATGTTTGAGTGACATTACAACAGAGATCAGAGACCTCAGAAAACATTCTCCTCCAGCCCTTTCTCCCATTTCACTGAGCAGACAGAAGCCAAGGAGCAGGAGGCTTGCAGAGGTCTTGTAGCAGAAGTGCAGATTGCAGTGCCAGAATCTGGTCTCCTCTTCTGCATTGCCCGCCCTGACTTACAGCCTGACATGGGTTAGATTTGCAGGAGTCTGGGAAGGCTCTGCAGATATGTTCAACAAACACCTCCAGGAAGTCTTCTCAGAGCACAGCACCTCCTGCTGGGCTCCCTAATGTTGGCCCTGCCCTTTGGGCTCAGCAGAACTCCAAGTGTTGGTCAGCAGGAATGTCGAACTTAAGTTTGTGGGCCTCGAAGAGGTTGCACAGCTCTTTGATATAGCGCTGGTGCAGCTGGTTCACCTCCTCCTCCGAGGGATGCAGCGTCTTCTGTACCTCGATGGGCTTCCCCACTGCAAGGCATAGAGGCGTGCAGTGGCTTAGGGTAGGGAAGGGGACATTGGGGCAGGTGCCCATCCCTATGGTTCATCCCTGCAGAAAAGTGCTCTTACTGCCATTCCTTCCAACCCTAATCTCAGGTAATGAATTTTAAGACATTAGTGCAACTCCAAGATTCTGATATAATAACAATGGCTGGATTTCTTTTCTTTCTTTCTCCGTTTCTCTCTTTCTCTCTCTCTCTCTCTTTCTCCCTTCCTTTCTCTCTCTCTCTCTCTCTCTCTCTCTCTCTTTCTTTCTTTCCTGCAGAGTCTTGCTCTGTAGCCCAGGCTGGAGTGCAGTGGCACAATCTCAGCTCACTGCAACCTCCACCTCCCGCATCCCGGTTCAAGCAATTCTCCTGCCTCAGCCTTCTGAGTAGCTGGGATTACAGGCATGCGCCACCATGCCCAGCTAATTTTTGTATTTTTAGTAGAGACAGGGTTTCGTCATGTTGGCCAGGCTGGTCTTGAATTCCTGACCCCGTGATCTGCCCTCCTCGGTCTCCTAAAAGTGCAGGGATTACAAGTGTGAGCCACCGTGACTGGCCAATGGCTGGATTTCAATGTGTCAGGCAATGTATTAGGTGCTTTACATGAAATACTCCCTATTATCCTATGGGTATAAAAAACTGTCATTATTCCTATTTGACAGATGAGTCAATGAGGCTCAGAGAGGTTACCTGACTTGTTCAAGGTCACATAGCCAGGAAGAACCACTGCCAGATTTTAGACCCCGGGGGTGTGCCCTTCACCTTCAGGCTATATGATCTGGGGAGTCCAAGATGCCATGATTGGAAGCAGCTATATTTCTAAGATGGGGTGAGTTCATAGCCCAGGCAGCTCTTCTTTCCCCTCTACCCCTCCACGCTGACCTGCAGTGGATCTCTTATCCCAGGGAGGAATCAGGATGGACCTAACTCATTTCTTTCTCTGGTTCTGCCTGGCTGGGAAGGCAGCTCCTCTGTCCTCTCTTCTGGCGATAGTTCTGGAGACAGCAGAAGTATTAAAATTCGTGAAAATATTGCCACACAACACGGGTGGGGGGTCATGATGTAGGGGTTTACCAAGTCTGCTCAATTAGCAAGTGGATGGATGGAGATGAGATAAATGGACTTCTCCCTATAAAGTCTTTCGGAGGCCAGGCATGGTGCCTCATGCCTGTAATCCCAGTACTTTGGGAGGCTGAGCCTGGGGGATCACTTTAGGTCAGGAGTTCGAGATGAGCCTGGCCAACATGGTGAAACCCTGTCTCTACTAAAAATACAAAAATTACCCAGGCGTGGTGGCATGCACCTGTAATCCCAGCTACTCTGGAGGTTGAGGCAGGAGAATCGCTTGAACCCGGGAGGTGGAGGTTGCAGTGAGCTGAGCTCATGCCACTGCACTCTAGCCTGGGCAACAGAGCAGGACTCTGTCTCAAAAAAAAAAAAAAAGAATTAAACCCACCTTTTCCGGCATTGTAAAAAGTCAGAATGATCCTAATAAAAACCTCAACTTTGTTATACAAAAACAGTGTGATATTTTGGAAGATACTTAACTTCTCTGAGCCCCAGTTTACATCAATGAAATGGGTATAGTAACTCCTGTCTTGAAGGTATGGCCAGGCGCAATGGCTCATGCCTTTAATTCCAGCACTTTGGGAGGCCGAGGCAGGCGGATCAGGTCAGGAGTTTGAGACCAGCCTGGTCAACATGGTGAAACACCATCTCTACTAAAAATACAAAAATTAGCTGAGTTTTGTGGTGAGCAACTGTAGTCCCAGCTACTCGGGAGGTTGAGGCATGAGAATTTCTTGAACCTGGGAGGCAGAGGTTGCAGTGAGCCAAGATTGTGCCATTGCATGCAGGCTTCCTGCCTTGAAGGTTGTTAGAATAAGCTGAGTTGCTTCATGTAGGGCAGCTAGTGTAGTGCCTGGCACACAGTAGATGCTCAGCAACTGGTCGCAACTATTGCTCTTGGCACCTCTGCTATAGTTCCTATCCCAGACTGTCTTCTATTCTATCTGCTTGCGTGTGTATGTTTCCCAATCTAGAATGTGAGCCCCATTAGGGCAGGAATAAATCTGGCCCATCTCCACGTCCCCTTGCAGCACACAACATAGCCTCCTCCCTCCCAGCCTGGTCCTGGACTTACCCACAGTGGTGATGGGCCGGCGGTAGGGTATTAAACCAAAGCTGTACTGGAAGACACCACGGCCATGAAAGAGTGGGAGGGAGATGCCCATGATCTTCTGCAACCGATTCTGGATACAGCGCAACCAGGAGCCAGAAGAGTTGGGAATCTGGTCAAATAGGTCATTCTCTCCGAAGGAGAAGATCGGCACCAGGGGTGCCCTGGAGACAAATAGAGGAAAGAGGGCATGTGGGAGGCCCCAGAGAAGGCACAAGCTGAAAGGCCCTTTAGCTTCCTGCAGGGACTCTGTGACCAAGAAATGGAGCAGAGGTCAGCCACCTGGGCTGGAAGTGGAGGCCTGGGTTATCTCCCAGACCTTCACAGCCCCATTCTCTGGGCAGGTCCCTTGCAGGGCCACAACTTCCCAGTTGCACCATGAGAGGTAGACCAGCATGCTTCAGACAGTCCTCCCAGATACAAAAATCTGCATTGTTTTTCCCAGAAAAATCTCTCCCACCTCAGCTGGCTCATGTTTCTCAAGGATGCTTCACCCCAAGTAGGGAGAAGAGCTCTGAAATGTACCCCAAATATCACTCTTCTAGATATCATAGGTCTCAGGTCAAGTGCCAGTTTTGTGGAATATGTTCATTGCCACCTAGTTTCTTAGATTACTGAGTCTCCCTTGTGGAAACTTTTCTAGGTATTTGGGCGTGAGACACCAAAATATAATCTTCATTGTGAATGGACTGAAAATCTCTACCAAAATAGAATCTGCATTCGTCTCTGCCCTCTTCCCATCAAAATAAAATCCTTGCCAATCGCCAACTGAAACCAGAGTGCTCTTCCCAGAGGCTTGATACCCGTGTGTCAGGGCGAGCCTGATGAAGCCCTTTCGGTTCCGCAGTAACAGCGTGAAGGATCCAGGCCTGGCATCCAGGGCCTCCTGGGCACCCCCTACAATGATGCCCAGCAAGTTTCCGCCACCCTTCCTGTTCAGAATGTGAGCAGCGCTCTCCTTTTCTGATGTGACCAACCCTGCGGAAAGAGAAAGGTGGGTCAGGTATGGGGTGAGGGAGCAAGGGCTATGAAAGCACATAGAGCCCATGAAAGAGATCACCAGCAAGGCCTGGGGTTGCCCCCACTGCACCCCATTCCACCTAGGAGCTCCCTGAGTCTTCTCCCTCTTCCCAACCCACTGGTGGACTTAGCACCCAGCATGGTGCTGTAGGAAGTGCTTCTTTGGGCCCAGCCTCCTTCTCCTACTGCACACGCTCTTGGAAGAAGTACAGAACTGTTGGCAACCCTCCTGAAAATGTGTTACCTTCCTGAGCTGCTCAGGGGTGGAAACACTCACCTGCGGACATGATGTAATCTCTGAAGAAGGGGGCCCGGAACCACAAGGTCAGCATCATCAGATGGGGGCGGATACCGGGGAAGATCGAAGAGAAGCCTGTGCTCTCAGTGCACAGGTTGGCAAAGGCTCCGGCTGCCAGGACTCCATGGGGGTGGAAGCCCGCAATGTAGTTCCGAGAGGGGTCCAGCTCAGCAGTCTTGACCAGCTGCAGGGACAGCAACCTACTGAGCCAGGGTGGGGCCTGTGTTCCAACCCTGACTCTTCCCCTCACTGGTGTGACCTTGGGAAACCCCCCTGAGCCTCCAGGTCTTCATCCATATGTCTGACCACCCTGGGTTCTTACGAAGATTCAGATATGGTGTGTGACAGCACCTGGAGATACCATGGTGCTGGCTGTGCCACAGAGTTGATGCTGGCTTGGGACAAATTGCTTCCCTCTCCTACAGACTCCTCATTTATAAAGTGGCAATACAGTATTTGGCCCTGTCCCTACTACCTCCTAGGGCTACTGAGAAACTCAAGCATGATGGTGCCTGGAATTATTTATACCAACACCACCTGTACAGAATATAACATGAAGGCATCAAGAGGCTACACAGGGGTATCAACATGCTGAAATAGCCCCATTTTAAGAAAAACAATGTTCCGGCCAGGCATGGTGGCTCATGCCTGTAATCCCAGCACTTTGGGAGGCCAAGGCGGGTGGATCACCTGAGGTCAGGAGTTTGAGACCAGCCTGGCCAACATGGTGAAACCCCATCTCTAATAAAAATACCAAAAATTAGCTAGGTGTAGTGGCAGGCGCCTGTAATCACAGCTACTCAGGAGGCTGAGACAGGAGAATCACTTGAACCTGGGAGGCGGAGGTTGCAGTGAACCGAGATCGTGCCACTGCACTCCAGCCTGGGCAACAAGAGCAAAAAACTGCATCTCAAAAAAAAAAAAAAAAGAAAGAAAAGAAAAGCATTTGTGCATAGAGAAACACCCTGGTGAGTGGAAGGGCCTGTGTTTAGGTCACTGAGCCAATATTAGAATGGGCATCTACGCGCACATTATCTATTGTGGTCCCACAGAGCATGCAGTTGGATACGTGCACATAGATACATGTAACAATACTGGCTCAGTGACCTAGACACAGGCCCTCCCACAGTGCAGGCACTTGGATACTAAGGTGTGGTCTGCACCTCCCTAGATGTGGTCTCTATTGGTATCTTTCTATGCTAACCTCTTTCATCTGTCCCCTGGACCCAAATCTATCACAACATCCCTGTGAAGATTACAGACCATGTGTCTGATGCATCTGTGTCCCCAGCGCAGGCCTGGAACAGAGGAGATGCTCTGGAAAGGGTATGGCATGAAGGAAGGAAGGAATAAGCCCAATGGACGAGGATGGTGCAGCCTCAGAAGGAAGGCTCCCTGACCCCAATCCTATCCTGGCATGTTACCAGGGTTCCACTAGTGAGAAAAAGAACCTTGAGTCGGGAGACCCAGGTTCTGCCGCTGGCTCATCACATGAGCGTTGTCAGGCCCCTGTCCCCTCTGTGGCTCAATTATTTCTGTCCCACAGGACACTGATAACGCCTCCCTGGCAGGGTTGCTACTGGGTTTAAGGGGGTAAACAAAGAAGAGAGGAGACTTGTGAAGTGCTGTGGTCTGTCTCCCTCCCTCAGTTCTGTTAGGTGAAGGGAGTGTGACTAAGCGAAGATGGATGGCTGTCTGGGGAAAATCCTGCCTGGGTGCATGCCCTGGCAGGCTGGGTGTGCAGCAGGCAGTGGGGCCTGGAGAAGTGCATAGCCAGGTTACTAGGCTCTGGGGGTTGTTATCGCTTTTAGTTGATATGATTTATATACCATAAAATGTATCCATTTTAAGTATGAAATTCAGGGTTTCAGTACATTTAAAAGGTATGGGATAGGTGTGGTGGCTCACACCTCTAATCTTAGCAGCCTGGCAACACAGTGAGACTCCATCTCTGCAAACATTTTTTTTAAAGTTGTGGTGGTGCGTGCCTGTAGTCCAAGCTACTTGGGAGGCTGAGGCGGGAGGATTGCTTGAGCTCAGGAATGAGGCTGCAGTGAGTTATGATTGCACCACTGCACTCCAGCCTGGATTACAGAAAGAGATCCTGTCTGTCTTTCTTTTTTTTTGAGACAGGGTCTTACTCTGTCGCCCAGACGCGAGTACAGTGGCACAATCTCGGCTCACTGCAACTTCTGCCTCCCAGGCTCAAGCGATCCTCCTGCCTCAGCCTCCTGAGCACCTGGGATTACAGGTGTGCACCACTACCGCCAGGCTCATTTTTGTATTTTTAGTGGAGATGGGGTTTCACCATGTTGGCCAGGCTGGTCTTGAGCTCTTGACCTCAAATGATCCATCCCCCTCAGCCTCCCAAAGTGCTGGGATCACAGGTGTGAGCCACCACACCTGGCCAAGATCCCATCTTTAAAAAAAAAAAAGTGTGTTACCAATCAATATCTAATTCCAGAGCATTTTCAACACTCCAAAATAAACTCATACCTATTAGAAGTCACTCCCCCTCTCCCCAGCCCCTGGAACCACGAATTTACTTTTTGTCTCTATGGATTTGCCTGTTCCAGACATTTCACGTAAATGGAATCATATAATATGTGGCATTTGTGTCTGGTTTCCTTCATTTAGCATGATTGGAGGTTTATCTATGTTATAGTATGTATCTGTACTTCATTCCTTGCTGTGACTGTATACTATTCCATTTTATGGATATTCTACATCTTGGATGTCCATTCATTAGTCAAGGACATTTGAGTGGTTTCACCCTTGGGCCATTACAAATAACGTGGCCACAAGCACTTGTGTACAAGTCTTGGTGTGAAAATGTTTTCAGTTCTTTGGCAGGGGCTACAGGGGCGCTTTTTTAACCCCAAGACGCTCTTCAGTCCCTGCCTAAACGATCACAGCACCACATAGGGCTCTCCGGGAGTGGACATCTGGACATTGAGTGGGAGGGAGGACAGCGGGGGACTGCTATGTCTCTACTGTGTCCATTCCCATTTCTCCACAAACGAACTTGTGCCCCCTCACAGCCGTGGGTCAACTGAAGAGCCTCAAGAGCCCACTGTCCTAACAGATTCTTTGTGGTTCACAAAGCAGCCATGCTGTTAGCTTGTTTAATGTTCAATCTGGCCCTAGGGAGGCTGGCTGGAGTATGATAGGCCCAGTGTGACAGTCCAGCAAACTGAGCTGTGGAGACCTGCCCTGAGCCACACAGATGGCTCTGAGTTCTGCCACCTCCTGCAGAAAGCATCAGAGAGAGAGAGAGAGAGAGAGAGAGAGAGAGAGAGAGAGAGCACGTGCAAAGTGAGCCAGGAAGCCTTTGTTCCAGACCCAGGGAAATATCCTGGCACTCAGGACTGTCTTTGGGGCCTTTCACTTACTAGTCAGACTTGGAAGGTCCAGGGTTCTCTCGATTCCCTTCTCCCAGGAGAAAGTGGCTCCTGCATCAACAACCTGCCTCGCACTGCTCCAGGGCCTGGCGTGGGAGAGCTTGTTCATGGCCTATTTATGTGCTTAGATTAATTGGCAGGTTAAAAATGCTGGGCATGCAGGGTCTGATTCAGTAGGTCTGATCTGGCCTTGGGCATCTGATTTGTGACAGATTTCCTAGAGGATTTGGTTACACATCAAAATTCAAAAATCCTCTTTCAGGTTCAGGCTGTTAGCGCTGTGTGTGTGTGTGTGTGTGTGTGTGTGTGTGTGTGTGTGTGTGTTTAGGGACTAGGGTACTTCCCTGTCTCCCCCTATCCAGCTCAGATGGATGGAAAGGCTTGGATATCCTCCTTGGCCCTGGCTGTAACTCCCTGTGGCCCTGGGTAGGGCTTTGGCCTCCCCAGTCCACTCTGTTGATAAGTTATTAGCTGGTTCTTGCCCCACCATAGTCACACATTCACTTCACAGACACACATTGATACCCATGGACACATCCCCTCAATTCTAACATGCGCACTCTCCCTGCCCACTTGTTGAAGAAATACAGTAAGTGCCAGGCCCTGAGAGCTGAAAAGAGTGCCAGAGTTGGTAAACACTCCCAGTATCTACCAGGCCCCAGGCACCTTGCGTACACCAACTTGCCTCACCCTCTGTCAACCGTATGAGGGAAATATTGTATCATTGCCGCCCGCACTTAGCAGATGAGGAGATGGAGACACAAGGTTCATTAACTAGTTGTGGGTCATATAGCTAGTATAGACTTAGAGCCAGGGTTTGAACCCAGAAGCCTGGTTCTGTGTGTGTAACCAGGAGGCTCTGCCACCCTGTAGGAGTCCTAAGTAAAAGGGGATTCATGGGGTAAGAGGGTACACTCCAAGTAAGAGCACCAGCACAAGTGATGTAGCTCATGCCTAGACAGCTCGGATGGCAAAGGGAGGACAAGCAGGTGAGGGGTGGGTGGGGTGCAGGGACTGGAAGGCTGCAGCAAAATAGACTTTATGAGCCAGGGGAG